GTCCTCCTGCCTCACCCTCCTTCAGGGTTAAGATTACAGGCATGCACCAGCCTCTGGCTCTGATTGTTTTTTCTGAGGTCGCTAGGTTCCGGCAGAGAATGAGATCCCCTTTTCGTTTTCCTCCCTTCCATGGGACCATCTGAAGCCAGGAGCTCTAGTGCTCACCTGCAGCAAAGCCCCACCTCTGCCCCGGTGTCATCTTGTTCAGAAGCATTTGCTTCTGTGCTCACCTGGGCTGTGCCCCTGACACACCAGCTCCCTACAGCTGTGTTCCACCCACTGTCCCCAGAAATGTTCACACCATTCTCTTCTCGCCCAAAGCACCTCCTTCAGGAAGGACCTGATCCTGTCTCCACACCATGCAAAATGAGCGACACGAACCCTACTGACCTCGTTTGGGGGCCCAGACCCAATGACTCAGCCCCTTGTGCTGTGGCTTAGTGGAGGAAGAAGTGTGGTTTGTTTTGGTTTTTGGTTTTTTTTTCTGGTACCAGGAATCGAACTCACGACCTTGCGCTTGCCAGGCAGGCGCTGTGCCACTGAGCTAAATCCCCAGCCTGAAGTGTGTTTATTTTCCAGGAAATATATTTATTTTACACACGAGGGTAAATTTTTAAAAGCTTCAAGCCAGTCATGGTAGCATTCACCCATAATCCCAGCTATTTGGGAGGGTGAGGCAGAAAAATTATAAATTTAAGGCAAGTCTGGGCAACTTAGTGAGTCTGGGCAACTCTGTCTCAAAATAAAAAGGGCTGGAGATGTAGCTTAGTGATAGAGCACCCTGGACAACCCCAGTCCTGGGGCGGCAGGGGAAATTGCAGGTCATTTAAAGAAGAAAGTGTGGCCCATAATCAGAACAATTGCTACTTCTACTGAGTAGACCCACAGATGGAATTATCAGACAAGGTCTTTACATCGAGTAAAATTAAGGTGTTAAGAGATCTATCTAGTTGGGTAAAATTAAGGTGTTAAGAGATCTACCTAGTTGGGTGTGGTGGCTCACGCCTGTAATCCCAGCACTCAGGAGGTTGAGGCAGGAGGATTGCCATGAGTTTAAGGCCAGCCCGAACTACAGAGTGAGACCTTGTCTCAAAACAAAAACAACAACACAAACAAAAGATCTAGTGAAGGGAAAGGTAAGAAAAGGTAGGGAATGAGACAGCATGTGTGGAGTTAGGAATTTCAAAAGATGAATGGAAACTATAAAGATAACCAAATAGAGGAGCTAGGGTAGCTGGGTGATGTGCTTCCCGAGCACGCACAGGGCCCTGCATCCAGTCCCTACCTCTGCGAAAGATACAAACTACTTCCTGTGCTTCTGCTGTCCCAAGCCCTGCCAGCCCCCTCCAGCCAAGGGCATCCTCAGGGCAGGAAGTCCTAGGCACTCCCAGCTAGGTGGGCAGCCGGAGGAGTGAGGCAGAGCAGGAAGCACCCGTCATGGGTGCCCTTTAGGGACTTCTGCTTTGTCCTGGGCCAGGGCTCTTAATCAGGGAGGTGGAGGAGGCCCCGGCAGCTCTCTACGTGCCAGGACTGGCTGATGAGCCAGACGCCAATGCCCCGGTACCCCAGGAAGCGAGGCAGAGGAGCGCAGGAAAGAGGGAAGAGGAGGAGGCGGCAGCTCCCTGGCAGCGAGGACTCTCCAAAGTAATTAGTTTTTAAATCAGGCAGACGGTTCAAGAGCCACTCACTCCAGGCAGCTTTAATTATTTATGCTCCCCGTTTCTGCTGATTATTTATAACCATCCTCTGCGAACGGGGAGGAGGATGTTTTCTCCACCGTGCTCTCAGCGTCATGAGGCTCAGCGGAATCCACAGGGTGCCGGGCCCTGGATGAGGCCGCTTTGGGCTGACCAGGCCGCAGCTGGGGAGATTCTGCACCGACGTTCCCCCGGGTCCGCCCGGCCCGGCGGAACCGGACAGTGCTGCGGGGCACAGCAGAGGGGCTGGAAGGCGTCTCAGAGCGCGCAGCCAGGTTCACCCTGCAGGACTGCAAGGACGGGCACTGTGACGATGGAGCTGGAGCCGGGGCAGCCCGGAGAAGCCCAGCCGTGTTCCCTCCTGCCCCGCTCCCCATGTCCGGTGATACCTAAGTGACCATCATCCCTATTTGCTGAGGCTGGGACACATGGAACTGCAGCCTGGTTCACATCCTCACAACTTTGCTGTCGCCTTGGCCCAGGAGTGACCCTCGGCTGTACCCTAGGGCCCTTGGCATCTGCTCTCAGCCCCTTCCCCTCTCCCGGGTACCCCCATCCTCACCTCTAAGGGCTTCCTCTGTGTGTGATCCGACGGTGACCTTGATGTGGACCCAAGGTCAAGAGACGCCAAGCCGCACAGCTGCATCTGTGTGGGGTGAGTGACCCAAATGAGCATGTTCAGAGCGGCGCCCCCAGAGCGATTGTGTCTGGGCCCTTGGCATTCCAGGCCCTTCGTGAGTCTAACACTCAAGGTGAGTGTGCAGAGCTAAGCCGGAGGAGGCTTTGACCGCGTGCAGGCAGGAAGCAGGGACCAGAGGCCCGATGGAAGAAAGGCAGGCAAGGGAAGGAGCTACGGCGAAGCAGCCCAAGCCGCTGCAGTCCTGTGCTCTACAGCGCTCCCTGCCGGGCCTCTGAGACATTCGGGGTGCTCCCTGCTCCTGGCTTTGCCCAGTGAGGAATACCCAGCAGCCCCTCATTCGCCCTGGAATGGGAACAGGCAGGGTGCAGCCGGTCACCAAAGGGATCCTCGATGGGCTCCCACTTGCAGCTGGCTGATGTAAGCAAAATTTATAAATCGTCATTGTAGTAAAGAAGATTATGCTTTGTTTAGCTGCTAAAAAAAAAAAAAATTGCATGGAATAATTTCTACCAGTATATCAATGTGGGTTACCAAATCATGTGCATAACCTGAGCTTAACATGGGGAAAGCAAATATAAGAAATGTTTGCAAGCGCATTAGAAAAATTTAAACCTCACACGTGAGCAGGTTGACTGGCACCGCTGGATCTGTTTGCTGTTCCTGCTTTTATTTTCCAATCGCTACGCAACAGGCAGGCACTGTTTGTACTATCAGGGAAACACCAGGGCATTTTTTCTTTTAAGGCCACAGCCCTTAAAGGGAGTAGGAGCATGGGGGTGGGAGGGGAGCATCTAGGAGCTCTGCAGCCCAGCCCAGTCTGTCTGGCATCAAGGGCTCTGACTTCTGGCACACACTATAACCCCAGCACTCTGGGAGGCTGAGGCAGGAGGGTCACAAGTTACTGCCAGCCTCAGCAACTTAGTGAGACCTTGTCTCAAAAATAAAACATTGAAAGGGCCCAGGGCCAGGGGTACAGCTCAGTGTTATGGTACCAAGTTCAATTCCCAGTACAGAAGAAGAAAAAAACCATGGCTGACTGCAGCCTTTCTGGGACTTTCTGAGGTTTGGGCTCCTCACAAATGCTGTATGTAATCTGGGACTGCCTGGTGGGATGGCGTGGAGCCAGCATCCCCCACAGGCCTCGGTCTGCTCCTTGGGGCCCCTCCCGGCTGTGCTGTGGGGCAGTATGAACATCTGGAAAGTGTTTCTGCTCCAGCACAGGAAACGTGCCTCAGCCCTGCACGGATCTCCACAGCCTCACCAGGGGGGCCTCTCCCCGCTTCCCTCCACAGGGGGAGCATCGAGGAGGGGGCCCAGCTCTCCTGTGAAGCCGGTTCCCCACCTGGACACCCACTTGGGTGGCCTCACCTGGGGTCCCAGCTGCAGCAGAAAGGGGTGGCTACCTGCACCTGGGTGTCCTCCAGGCGCAGGACACCTTGGAGCCCCACACTTTCCTACAGCCCCGGATTCTACCCTCCCCTCCTGGCATGCTGCACGCTGCCACCTCCTCCCCTCCCAGGCTTCCCAGCGGTGGCCCTCTGAGCAGCGCCCAGCACTCCAGACCCCACGTGCCCCCAACACCAGAGCCAGCAGGATTCAAAGCATTGCTCAGAGACTGTCACCTCCCAGCTCCGAGCTGGACACCGGTCCCATGCTGGCATGAGGCTACATCTTCATGGCGTCATTTTCCCAGCACCGCGCACATTGCACACCTTACGTGTAGTCAGAAAGTAATGTTTAAAAATAGGAAGAGATCTCTGAAAATCCAGAGGCCCCTGTGCACTGCAGGACCCCTCCTGGCTCCTTCCAGGGGGCCAGGAGCAGCAGGGTGCAGCCTCCCACCCCTGTGGGTCTCTCTGCAAGCTCCAGGGATCTAAGGGCCTCAAGAGGCAGGCAGGCACTGAACAGCTCAGAGGCTGCCTGTCAGGTCATTTCCTGGATTCCAACTCTGTGGCCCAGTGGAGGTGAGAAGGAAGCCAAGCTGTCCGGACCAACAGTCCTGGCGGGACACCCTGCTTTCCATGCGGGTCTCTGGGCCAGCACAGCACAGAGCAGGTTGCCCTGTCCAGATCTTCCTGCTCTTCCATGTCCTGCAGGTCCTGTCTCGGGGACAGCCTGGCCCCGACCAGATGGCTATGTAAGGAACCTCTTGGGCTGAATGAGTATGAGGCTCAAGCGGCAGGAGAAAGCCAGGTGTAATGACACATACCTGTAATCCCAGCACTTTGGGAGGCTGAGGCAGGAGGATTATTAATTTATGTCCCATCTGGGCAATTTACTGACTTAATGAGACCCTGTATCATTTTTTAAAGGGGGCAGGGAGCCTGGGATATAGGTCAATGCAAAAACCCTGGTTCAATCCCTAGTACTGCAGATACAGACAAACAAACAGCTACTTCCTCAACCCTTTTTTAATTTTCAGACAAGGTCTCACTAAGTTGCCCAAGCAGGGCTGAAACTTGGGATCCTCCTGCCTCAGCCTCTCACTGTAGCCAGTTTTGTCATATTTGTCTTAAACCCAGGAGGCCAAGTTCAGGTTCCAGCCTGGCCTGACCTCCCCTACCCCTGCCTCTCTTCTCTCCGCACCTCTGGGGCCATTCCTGAGGCGAGAAGGAAACCCACATTCCAGGGGCAGGACAACACTCTCCCCTGGAGCCTCAGAGTTTGCATTTGAAACATTTATTTCAGGAAATACATTTCAACACTTTGTTATTTATACAAAAAGAGACGAATTTCTCAGGAGGCACATAGCAAAAGGCCATTGTGGAATGGAGCCTCGTGAAACGAGTTTTCAAAATCTGGTTACAGAGAAGGAAAGCGAAGCCATCCCTGCGGACGCTGCTGTAACCCCCCATCCCCCAGCGCCACCAGGGCCGGGGAGGACACCCCCGAGTCCTGGGCCCTGCCGCTGGACATCTCCTTCCTTCAGAGTCTTGGTTTTGGCAAAAACTTGGCAAGTCGGCAGTTGGCAAGTAAACTGTTGTCAGGCAGAGGGGTTTGGTGAGGGTCTGCACCCCACGGGGGTGGGGGGAAGATGGTGATGCAATCACTTGCTCACATGCACACTCACCACAGCTGCCCACCGTCCCTCCCGCTGCACCTCTCAGCTGCATGAGGCCAGCTCGGGGTCTGCAGCCAGACACCCCAAGGCACGTATGCCTGTGTGCGGCCTCGCCACACCCCTCCTGCCACCCAGAATGGGGAGGCAGGTGGGGACCGAGGTGCTGCGCATGCGGGCTGGTCCCCCCAGCCTCCTCCTGGGGACAGAGGTCGAGCCCTGCCCTTCCGCCCACATGTGTCCGCCCACATGTGTCCGTGCGTCTCCAACCCTCTCATCTCTCCCTCTCCGGGGGCTTTACAAGGGGTTCTGCGGTGCAGGGGCCAGCCACTCAGGAGGACAGTGGGGTCTCCTGGCCTCCCGCCAGGCCCAGGCCAGGAGCAGGGAGTCGGGCTGGGGCGGCTGGGCTGTGACAGGACCAGAGCATCGCAGCCGAACCAAAGTTGAGACAGACTGACCGACAGACAGACATCCAAGGCACAGGGCGGGCGGGGCTCCCTCCCCCGCTTCATCTGCTTGGACCTTCCCCAGTTCAGGGGTGGGGTGGGGCGGGGCGCGCTTCTGTCCTCACCAGACTTTGCTGCATCAGAAGCATCCAAAGCGCCCCCCCCCCCAGGGGTGCGAGGGTGCAAGGCGGGCTGGAGGGATAAATCACACCTTCCCCTCTCCCGTTTGTCCCCATTTCTGGCCCAAGGGGACAACCAGGAGTCCTCTGCCTCCTGTGGACGGCTGAATGAAGGCACTTTCTGCTCCAGAGTGGGCTCCGGGCGGGTGGCCACGGGCCTCGCGTGTCTAAGCAACTGGCAATGTGTGCTGTGGACCCCTCTCGGGTCCCGGGGTGCAGCGGTGGGGCGGGGGCTCTGAGTCACGGCCCACACCACCGGGGGGCAGGAGGGGCTCCGTCCTCCTACTCCAGGAGCTGTGGCCTCGGGGATCGAGGGCTGAGAGGGGACCGCTGAACCCAGGAGACCTGGTCCCTGACAAGGCTCTGGAGCTAAGACCTCCTTGGAGGGTGGCAGACAGGGCAGGTCTGTGGGCCCCTTGGGGGAGCCCGGCTGGGGGCGGGGTCAGACTCCGAGGGGCCCTGGGTCCTCCTGCTGGGCGCATCCAGCCTTTCTGGCCCTCAGGAAGGTCAGAGGGTCCCAGGCTGAGTCCCCCCCAAGGGCAGCCAGGAGGCCGATCAACTGATCAACACTCAGGAGGCCGCGGCTTCTCTTGTCACCTGGCAGCGCGGAAAGGGTGAGAAGGAGGACGACCAACGGAGAAAACGATATAAAATAAGACGGGGTGGGCGGGGGGCGGGGAAGTCTTGGGGGCAGGGTCCAGGGCGGGGGCGGCGTCTACATCTCCTGGGTTTCGGGCTCCTTCTCCTTGACGCCGTTGGCCATGGTGCTGTTGCCCTCGTTCAGCCGCTTCACGCGGTACGCCTCGAAGTGGATGCTGCTGGTGATGTCCTTGATGTTCTGCATGTGAGTCCTGCGGGGACAGCAGGTCAGCCTGCCCACCGCGCCTCACACCCGACCGCCACTCCCCGCGGGCTTCCCCGCCACCGCCACTGTGGCGACCACGCCTGGCCCAGGTCCGGAGGCCCATCTCCCTGGCAACCCTCCGTGGACACACGTCCCAGTGCGTCCCTGGCTCTATCCACACGACAGCTAGTCTGGAGCCTGCTCAGCAACAGAGGGCTGGGTGCTGGGAGCAGGGACTCAACAAGGGGAGGCCCAGAGGCCCCCGGCAGCGGGCAGGACTGTAATGTCCTTGCTCCAAAAAGAAGCCCCAGGCCAGTGGCCGGGGTGCCAGCCAGCAGACGCAGTGGGTGACTGCTAACCCTGGGGCGGCAGACCGCAGCAGGCAGGTGGGCTGCAGCAGGGGGCTGGGTCCACCCTACCCACCCTGGGCTCACTACTGTGGTTCTGTGTGGTGGTGCTGGCCATGGAGCCAGGGCCTCGAGCGTGCTGGGTAAGCGCTCCACCACTGGGTCACACCCCAGCCCCTAGCCTTTCTCTCCCTCTGCAGCTAGGAGGGCCAATCTGGAAAGGCGGCTGGAAGGGTGGGGTGCCCCAAGATGGTGACACCACTTCTGCCCACCCCTTGACCCCCCACATGGCCCTGCCCACCTCTGGAGGGGGACCTGGGACCCCAGCAAGCGGCCCTCACCTCTTCACCTGCCCCACCCCAGACTGCCTCTGAGACCCCTCACCTGGCCCCTTCTCTAGGGGGCTTTTCCCGCTGGGCCACAGAGACCATCGAGAAGCCTCAGCCAAGACAAGGACAGGGGCCAGAGGCTGCTGGGGACAGAGCTGGGGACCCGCCAGCCTCCACCGGAGCCCACCTGTGAGATCTCACGGGCTGCAGCCGTCAGTGCAATCTGGGCTCAGGTCACAGGGGACCAGGACACAGCCCTTCCTGTCCCCATGACCTCACAGGGGTTCAGAAGGATGCTCACACCTTGCTTCACTCATTTCCCAGAGCACGTCTTAGCAAATGGGGCTCTGGAGGCAAGCTCAGCTGGGTGGGCAGAGTGCCGGCTGCCCGCCGCCTTCTACCCGTCTGCCCACCCCTCACCGCAGCACCGCCAGGCTCACCTGATGAGGAGGTCCCGAAGGTAGGCGAACTCACAGTGTGTGGTGTTCTCGACTGCGGAGAGGGGACAGACAGCTTCAGTGTCACACAGGAACCCCCCCCCACCCAGTAACGTTCCAAGAGTGGCCCCATCGGCAGGTGGTGCCTGGTGCACGGGTGAGTCCTGGCTACCTGGGAGGCTCCCAGTACCAGGGACCCTGCGGTGGAAGGACAAACTCAGCTCCTGCTCTCTGGAAGGTTGTGGGCCAACGCGGAGATGGCCCAGCAAGCAGACCAAGACTCCGGTGAGAGTCACAGTAAGGAGGGGTGGGCCTGCTCCTCTGGGGTGACCAGGGAGGCTTCCGGGATGTCGCAGGGCAAACCTGAAGATAGGCAGGGGCTGGGAGGCCAGGGATGACGAAGGAGTTGGGGCAGATTTTAAGATGACCTGGGTCCTCTGGCTTTAGCCCTGCCCACACGTGCCCAGGGCACAGGCAGGGCACGTGCACACACCCCACACACAGAGACCACGTACATGGGTGGCCCTTGAGATCAAATCTAAGAACCAGCGGGCCTGGGGATTTAGCTCAGCGGCAAAAGCGCCTGCCTGGCATGTGCAAGGTCGTGAGTTCAGTTCCCGGTACCGGAGGAAAAAAAAAAAAAAAATCTAAGAACCAGCAAAACCGAGGGTCACCTGCATATGAGACCACACAGGCAGAAGCCGCTGGGGACAGCGGGCAGGGCCTCAGCTGGCCGCACTGAGTGGCCTCGGTGGTGGGCGTTGTGACCTACACGTGAGCACACTGCCGGGTGCTGCGACTGTGACACCACGGAACAGGGGCGGGCCGTGCATCAGAGGCAGGGCCAGGCAGAGCAGGCACCAGGCGCTGCACATCCCCTCAGCCCCTCCCCGCACCCGCAGGCACCGACAAGGACTCCTCTCTTGCAGTCACAAAAGTGGAGCTTGGTGTTTCATACCAGTGAGGTCAGTGCGGTTTCTGAAATTCAGACCCAGCTCCGCAGTCCGCTCTGCCCGCTTCCCACGCAAAGCGCTTTACCCAAGCAGGGGTGAGGCAGGGCTGTGCTGTGAAAAGCTCACGTCCCCACCCGGGCAGGGCTGGTCCCACGACAGCTTCTGCCACGGACACTGATGCCCTCTGATCCTACTCTTGAGAGGCAGCGAGAGCCAGCAGAGGGCAGCACGCTCGAGTCAGAATGTGATGCAATCTCTGCTTCTGGGGTTAGGTATGTTATTCTGGTCTCTCCAACCTTTATCTCTCCATCTGTAAAATGGGTAACAATGTCACCCACCTCCCAGGGACATACAAGGGGATCAAATGGGGTGAATCGTGGCACCCTGCCTTCCTCCTGCAGCACTCAGGCAGCTCCTAGAGGTGGGGGACAGAGGAGATCAGGTGCACACCAAGGGGGAACAAGGATGAGGCAAAACTACCTAGTGTCTGCGAGAGGCAGGGTGAGCAAGTGGCTGGCTCCTTGGTGAGTTATCAACTCACAAGAGCCTCATCGTGTTCTGGGGAAGTCTCCAGGATCCGCAGGATGCAGATCTGCCACTTTGTAACAGGCCTTCCCAGCTGTGAGCCCCAATTTGGCCTTTTATTTCCTGACAATTTCTATATAGAGCACCTGCGATGACAGGATTTGGCCACCAGAGAGCAGTAGAGACATGCCAAAGTCGGCAGCCCCAGGGACCTTAACCCAATCACGCCTTTCATGAAAATGTTCTGAAAGGCTCCGGGATACTTCTGTAACCTGTCCCTTTCAGACAGCTTCCTTGCAGTGGGGGCACCACGGACAAGCGCCACAGACAAGCACCACAACCCGGAAAGCACCCAGATGACGGCTCGTTTTAGAAAAATGCCTGGCGCAGCCATCTGCCACCACCAACGGGTGAGGATGGCGGGTGCGGCTTCCTCAGTGTTGAACCCCTGGGGTGCAGAGCGGGGCTGGGCCTGTGGACCCAGAGCTGCCCTCCTTCCTGGGGCCTTCACTGCACTCCTGCCCTCCGCGGGCTGAACAACACCATCCATGTAGGGTGCTGCATCGCCACTGTGATCAGCTTCTGGGCTCAATTGCTCTCCCTATAGTCCTGGGGACAGTCTGTCAATTCACTGAAATCTTGGCCACAGTACCATTTTATGGAGGTGGAAACTGAGGCCTTGGGGAACTGGGGATTTCCCACACTTGCACAGCTGATGGGGATTTCCCACACTTGCACAGTTCACTCTATTCCTTCTCTACAGGGGTCACTCAGACGTGCCATTCTCGAGGGACAAAGTGGCTTATCCAGTCCACTCTGTGCTTCTTCCTCGTGCTTGCTAAAGAGGAGGGAAGGAGCAGCAAGGAAAGGAAAGCCCAGGCTCATCCACCTGAACAGATGCTGACCTGCACCCCAGAAGATATGTCCAAGTCCCAACCCTTGGAGCCCGTGACGGGGACCTTATTTGGCAAAGTATCTGAAGAGTGCACTTGTGTGGCTCTACATCCAGTGACAGGTGTCCTCACGTGCAACAGACCAAGCTTGGACTGTGGGCCGAATGCTCCAGGCTACAGACCAACGTACTTCCCTGTCCCCGGCCCCGGGAGCCAGCACAGCGAGTACCTTCAATGGTGCCCCACTTGGTCTTCCTGCCAAGGATCCGCTTGCCGTTGACCTGGTACTCATGGTCGCTGCCCACCACAGCAAAGGGGATCATCTCCTGGAAAGGGAGCAGGTAGGGCCGGTCACATGTGCTCAGAAAGGCTGGTACCTCCCCTGAGCCAGGGCCCCCAACTGGAAGCTGGGTATGGCCATGGACTCCCAACCCTCCAGGCCCAGAGAAGGCCCTGTGGCTCAAGGTCAGCCCACTGTTTTGCCCAGGACAGAGCAGGAGCACCCTTCCCTTTATGCCCACTGCAGGCATGGGAGGCCCTGCGAACAGCCTCAGGAGGACACACTCACCCGGAACTTCTCGTTCACCTGCCGGTCCTCTGCGTCCTCATCAAACTCCTTCTGGGGGTACACATCGATGCCGTTGGACAGCAGATCTGCAGTGATCTGGGGAGATGCAGGTGAGGTTAGCCGCCCTGGGCCCAGGGTCAAGGGCAGGCTCTGGGGAGCTGTGACCCCAATAATCTGCAATTCTGGCACCCCCAAGTAGAGGAGGGGCAGCAGCAGACCTGCCTGCCTTGGGAGGATGAGGCTCCGCAAGGGGGAATCTACTGTCTATCCATCTCTCCTGGTCAACTTCTCTCACATGTTATGAAAATAACCCAGGCTTGTGAAGTCTTCTCCTCTTGAAACCGCCCATCTTAGCCTCCCAAGCCCAGTGTGGGCCCCTCCTTAGTCCAGGGTGTACTTGTCTGCATTAAACCAGCCCCACCCCGACAGCAGCACAAGCCAGGCGAGTTAACTGAGAATATCCCAGGGAACAGTCGTCACATCCGCCCCAGGAGACCCAAACCCACAAACAACCCCGGGCTACACATCCCCTTCCCTCCAGCACACGTCCCTGCGCAGTGGGCCATTCTTCCCTAAGCATGCTGGGAAATTCTCCCACACCGCCTGGTCTGGAGGCCCCTGGGACTGGTGGGGTTCGACTAGGGTGCAGCTCTGTTAGGAAGAGGTGGCCTAGGGCTCAGCACCTGCAGGGCACCCTGTCTACCCAGCTGGCAGTGGCCTAGATTGTGGCAGAGAACTAGTAGCCACTTGTGACCAGCAGACTGTCCCTCCAGGCTTTCTCTTCTATCTTTCTCTTCCGTCTCATACAAACAAGGCATGTTTTGTTTGATGGGCCCACATCAACCTTGCTCCCAGAACAGGGCACCGGTCGTTTCTGAATCTGCGTCTTTTTCAAGCCCCGCTCACACTTTGCAGGAGGACGAGTCTGTCGCGTGGAGCTGCAGTTGAGACATGGGCCACCCCAGGAAGGCCAGAGCAAGCACCCAGGCCAGGACTCCCTGGGGGCAGCCATGAGCATGGAGAGTGCAAGTGGCTCTGTGTGTGCAAGTGGTGCCCCGGACTGGGCGGCCTCTCCCAGGCCTACAGCTTGTCCAAGCAGCCCCTGAGGGCCAGGAGGCCAGCAGAGGCTGAGTGTCGTACCCGCTGTTTGAAGTAGACCCTCTCCTCCAGTGTCAGCGTGTCGGCCTTGGCAATGACAGGGACGATGTTGACCACCTTGCTCAGGCGCTTCATGAACTCGATATCCAGGGGCCTAAGGCTGAAACGGACAGAAGGAAGTGAGACTGAGCTCTGCGTTAATGGGATGGGGGGGTCCCCACCTCCAGGGCTGGAGATGAGGCTCTCAGTGCCAGCTTGGGGTAAAGGCAGGGGCATAGCAGGGCCAGCCAAGTGGTAAGTGGAGGATGGCAGGAGGAGCAGGGTCAGCTCTAAGCTCATCCAGGAGGTTCCAGACCGGCCCAGGGCACGGGTCCAGAGAGGGGCTGCTCGGCAAGCAGCGTCCTTCCGTGAAGGGGCACGAGAGGCAGCTGTGGGCTTCCTGCAGGACCCCAGTCGGAGGCTTGCTGCCCTCCACTGCGACTTGTACTTGCAGGGCTGGGATTTCCTCAGAGCCCTGGGCTCTCAACTCCAACGTGTAACCCATTTAATGGCTCCTGACCGTGGCCCGACTCTCCCCCACCCTGTGCCCAGCACCAGGGTGGACAGCAGCAGCACTAACAGGCAGCCCTGGGGCAGCAGGGCCCAGGGCACCCGCACCAAGCTGGGGAGTGGCTGCACGTACGAGTGGCCGGTGGCGGGGATGAAGTAGAGGCAGCAGTGGACACGTGTGTCGGGGATGCGCTTCTTGCGGTTGATGTTCACCTCCTCCTGCAGGTACTTCTCGTACTGGTCATTGATGAACTTCATGATGGGCTGCCAGCTGTGTGGAAGCCAGGTCAGTGCCGGGCGGGGAGTGTCCCTGGTGTGGATGGGGGTAGCTCCCCAGCCTGACACTCTGCCTGCCACTCAACCTTGCAATCATATTGGGGGATGTTTGGCTTTGGGCAGATAGCACCACCTCATCTTAGAGCTCCTGGCCCAGCCTCCCACACTGACCTTTGACCCCAGGGGGTAGTGAAGAGTGAGCCAGATTCCCAGGGCGACCCCACCTCAGTCCACAATTTTCAGGAAAAGCTCCTCAATACTAGGGGATGGGGCCCGGGCAGCCTGGGTGCCCCATGAGTGCCCCTCTGCCCTGTGGAGCCCCCTTCTAGCCCCTCACCAGTTCTCGTTGTTGATGTGGTCCCCGAACCCTGGCGTGTCGATCACTGTCAGCTTCATCCGGACACCCTTCTCCTCGATATCTACGGGAACCACACAGTCCCAAGTCAGAGGGTGACCAGGACCCCAGAGGTGGCACCAGGAAGACAGCAGCCTCCGGTAAGAAAGCCCAGCAGACCCTCTTCCCAAGGTCCCCTGCCCACAAATTCTGGTGATAACTAGGCTGTCTGTCCCCAAGGTCTCCCAGGGACCACGGCTTACAGGCCAGTCTTACCCAGGATCATCATCCTGGGGGGCTCTCAGCAAGTCCCCCCCAGGGAGCCTGGGGCACCCTTAACCCTATGCTCTGAAAGGATGGGGGCCTCCACCCCAGCCCCTGCCTCAACACACGGCGCTCACCGTGGGTGATGGACTTGATCTCAATGGTCTTGGGGATGCGCTCTTCTGGGGTGGGCTGCACTGACTTCCGGCTGATTTTGGACTTGAAGAGGGTGTTGATTAAGGTGGACTTCCCCAAGCCACTCTGCCCTGGGGAGACACAGGAGGGAGGTTGGCCGGCTCTTGGGAGGGGACAGGTCACAGACACACGATAGAGGGCAGAAGTCCAGTGACACCAGGCTCTGGAGCCCAGCCCACTCAGCCAGGGTCCCTTCCCCAGCAGTGACGGTCCAGACCCCAGGAAGGAGGTCTCCTGGCAGCTCTGATTCGGGGCGCCTCAGGGTGCCTCAGTTTGTGTATCTGTACAATGGGATGAACTGCACCTGCGTCTCCTGTGCTGGGGCTGCTGTGAGCATCAGGTGGCTCACATGTCACAAGTTGCCCCATCACCAAGACAAGGATGAGACTCAGTGTACACACTCACAACACGACCCACGATCCACACACACATTCGACTCCAGACGGCTCTGCCGCTTTACAGCCGCACGGAACCCTTCGGGCTGTGCCAGCAGCCATGCATCCCCTGACTTCTGACCCTGATGGCCCCTTGGGCTCCCAGGAGGGCAGAAGCTGGCACTGTCAACATCCCTGGCCTAAGTACGGCAGCCCCAGCACCTTGGGCTCCCAGGAGGGCAGAAGCTGGCACTGTCAACATCCCTGGCCTAAGTACGGCAGCCCCAGCACCTTGGGCTCCCAGGAGGGCAGAAGCTGGCACTGTCAACATCCCTGGCCTAAGTATGGCAGCCCCAGCACGGGCAGTACTCGTCACTTCCCCTCTGCCCACCTGGTTTGTGTCCTGGCTGGTGCGGTCACTGCCCCAGCCCCTGGGTGCCTTACATCCAGGAGATGTCCACTGGAAATTTTATCCTCACGGCTTTATTACTACATCAACAACACTGCCGCTGTTCCTACTTCCTGAGGGCCCACAGCGCATCAGGGACTATGCCCCCCGCCCCGTCCCCGGTGCTCTGGACCTGCCTGGCCCCCTGGGGTTGGGATTATGCCCCTTTCTAGGCCAGGAGACTGAGGCCCAAGGAGGGGAAGGCACACACGCCTACCTGGGAGAACGCGGGGCTTCTCCCCCTGGGTCTGTGGGCCCCACACAGCCACCTCCCTCCCCGCCGTCTCGTGGACAGAGCACTGCTGCAGCCGGGCCTGGAGCAGACACTGGGTCCCGTGGGCAGCACCCACCCTGCCAAGTGCTTCCGGTTTTATTTACACGACCTTGTTCTTCCTGAGGCACCCCAGGAGCGAGCCCACGAGTGACAGCTGGGCATTGCTGTTCTCAGGGCTGGAGGGGAGAGGGGCCCAGCACAGCAGGTGGCCCCCGGGGCGCCCTCCTGGAACTCAAGGCTGGACCACAGTGGTGAAGGCAGTGAAGCCACCGCCTCCCCAGCCACAGCTCTGAGGGAGGCCCGCGTCACAGACAGGACCAGAGGAGCTCAGGACCTTCCCGTGGGTGTCTCGAGGGCAGGAGGCAGGGCCACCCTGATTGCTGCCTGGTGCCTCCCCAGATTCTCTCTCTCCAGCCTCCAGCCTAGGCCGAGGCCCTGGGTCCTCAGGTGTAGCCTGAGGATTGAACAGTGGGAGTCCCACTAGGGGACCTCGGGCCCCTGCCCTGGAGCACGATGGGGCCAGGAAGGCCGCTTGGAGCTAAGAGAAGACACCAGGAGCCCAGAGGAGGCGAGAGGGAAGTACTCAGGCTGGGGGGGTCCTCAGACACCGTGGTGGGTGTCCCCACCAGACTGGCCTGTGTCTAGGGCTTGAGCCTCCGGGGCATTTGCCCAGACCCCAGGACCCTGTGGTAGGCAGGGGGCCCCACCCTGCTCTGAGAGTCTGAAATCCGAGGCTTTCCTCCCTTCACAGGGTCACTGTGAGGACCGCATGGGGCCGGAGGGTAGCATCCCTCGACAGGATGCTACCTGCTAAAAGTCAGCCCTGCCACGCAGCCTGCCTGGGCACCCTAGTCAGTGACCTCCCCCTGGTGACATCCAGTTCTTCAGTGTGACAGTGAGGATCTTAACACAAGGAAGTGCACTGGGAGACTTACACACATGTCACTTGCAGTTCATCCTTCAGGCCCAGGCTGTCACCCACAGTACCGAAGGGAAAACTGAGCCCAGGAGCTTTCATCACTGGCCCTTGTGGCTGGGCGGAGACTGGCGCACTGCATGGGTCTGGCTTGGGGCGGGTGTGGGGGACTCACCAACCACCATGATGTTGAACTCAAAGCCCTGCTTCATGGCCTTCCTGCGCATCTGCTCCAGGATGGAGTCGATTCCCACGTAGCCAAAGTCTGCGGGGGCCTTCTCATTCCGCGACGCGGGCGCCGGCTTGAGCATGGCGTCTCTGGGGGTGTCAGCCATGTCACCCACACAGCCAGGAGCTGCCTCGGTGGCTGGGGAGGAAGAGCATAGGTGTCAGGCTTAAGACAGGCTCCAACCCTCAGGTCCACTCTCAGATAGGGGAACTGAGGCACGGGTTAGCCGTTTGCCACAAGACCCCTGCAGAAGGCCCCTGATGGAAGCCACTCACTATGGCAATATCCGACAGGCCACTGTCCTAAAGCTATACTCTGCCCAGCTCCAAGACGTAACCCAGCTCTCAGGGAGCTGTCCCTGTCCCCAGGGTGAGCACTGTCTCATCTCCCCTGGGCCTCTGAGTCCCCACTCCCAGCCCCCAGGCTCAGAGAAGCTGCAGTGGCTGCTATGTTCAAGAGCCTTGAGGTCCCTCATGACCCAGCAGAAGGGACAGACTCTGCCTGCTGAGACAAGCCTGTCCTCCTAGAAGTGTCCACTTCCAGGCACAGCCCTGGGACAGGGCGAGCCCCAAAATGGCCCATGTGACTCTCCAGGTGACATCCAGCCCTAGTGTCCCTCCTACAGGCAAAGCCCACGGGAGTCTGCAGGCCCACAGTCAGGCAACAAGACTTAACTCGAAATAGCACGAGCTTCCACCCCGCTGCAGCAGGTTCCACACCCCTAGCTCCGAGGTCAGGTAGAGAACAGGCAGCCACAGGGTGCCCACCAGGGGCTGGGTGCGGCGCACGCTCCACAGCCCTGTCTGCACCACCTGGAACAGCCACGGGTGTGGAGGCGCCCAAATGCCCTACCACAGAGGCGGTCACATCTTCCACCTCCACTGCCTGAGCTGCCCTGGCTGCTCGTTCCCGCCCTCCTCGGGGTCACCTGTTCTCACCTGCCTCCGAGCTCAAAGGAAGACACTGCTCTGAGCCTGAGACAGCCTTCTCACCCCTTGGGCCAATCCCACCAGCCCCTGGGGAGGGAGGTGGTGCTGCTTCCCAGGGGCACTAGGATTCATCTTCCTCCCCTAGGACAATAAGCACAGCTGGACAGATCCCTAAGGTGGTGAGCACAACCCCACCACCAGGGCAGTGAGCTGCCTTCCAAGTGTGCCAGCCCTGAGCTCTTCACACCCTCACCCGGCCTGCAGAGCAGCGGGAGGGCGGGCTTAGGGCGCAGCGCTTCCTGGGGAAATGCCGGACTCCACGGCTTGACCCACTGGGCTAAGCCCCCACATCCCAAGTGCCTCTGGCATTTCTGTCGCTCTTTGTTCTACTTATTGGAGTGGCCAGCAGAAGTGGAGGCTGGCGGGCCAGCAGCTCCTCTGAGCCCTCCCCAAGCCACGTAGAGGGACAGATGGAGGAGCAGAGAGCTCAAAGTCAGCTCCGGGGTGTGGGTGGGGGCTCTTCATCACAAAGGGCTCTTGATCAGCTGTTCCCCTCCCTCTTGGCCTCCCCAGGGCACCATAATCTCTTACTTCAGGGAGCCAACAGCATGCACATAAGAGTGCCAGGGATTGCCAAGAGGCACACGGATCTCCATCCCCACAGAGCACCAGTAACCAAAGGCAGCCCACCCGGCCCCAGTCTGAGCTGGTCCCGCAAGACTTCAGAACAGAGCTTCTGTCCTACTCAGCAACATCCTCCGAGCTTCCAGCACTTCAAATAAACAAAGACCCTGTGCTGCATCTGCCCCAGAACCTGTGGCTTGGGCGCTTCCTGGAGACAGACAACGTGGGGCCTGCCTCTCGGGCTACGGTTCGCTCTCAGCCATGTGACTGAAAATTGCTTCCATCTGTCTGTGTTGAGAAGCCGTTTTTCTCGGGCCGGGGCCAGCACCCCCATCCCCCCTCACCCGTCTCCCCCTTCCCTGGTGGAGAGGGCTGCCCCCTGAACTCTCTCTCACCGCCACCGCTGCCCCGGAGAGGAAGGGTCCTCCAGGCTCCAGCTGGGGCCCGCCACAGGCACCAACGCTCCACGCAGAAACTAAAACCAAACCAAACTTCCTGCCTACTGGGGGCCCCTGCTTGAGAAATAATATTAAAAACACAGAGGAGGGGCTGGGGATGTAGCTCAGCGGCACAGCACCCGCCTGGCAAGCCAAAGGTCCTGAGTTCAATTCCTGGTGCCCAAAACAAAACAAAATATAGAGGAGCCTCTTCCTTCTGGATCACGTGGGGAAGTTTCTGGCGCCATCAGCCCCTCCAGGGGGAGGTGTCATTGCAGGAGCCTTGCTCTCTCCTCCTCTCTGGCCAGGTGGTGAGCTCTGGGGCCCACCTTCAGGAGCTTACCCACAGACATGTGTGAACTGAACCCCTACCCTCTATGGGAAGCCACCAGAGGCCTTCCCAGGTCCCCAGGTGCTGGAGCCAGTTGGGAGGGATGTAGAGCCTGCCTCCTCCCTCACCTGGGCTCGTAGACATGGCCTGGGCTATGGGCCACATGTGTCCTTTAAAATGGTGGCAAAATGGACCATCCTGACCATCTCTGTGCACAGTTGTGTGAATACTCATGGTTGTGCAACCTGCCTCCAGAACACCTCGCTTGAAATAATGCAACTCCACCCCCATTAACCAACACCTCAGTTCCCTCCCAGCCTGGGGAATCCCCTCCCCCAACTGTCTACCTCTCTGAATTGGACGACTCCAGGGATGGAGTGTAAAATGAATCACAGAGCAATTGCCGTGGGGAGCTGGCACGTCATGTCCTCAAGGCTCATCCTTGCTGTGGTAACTGTGTTGAAACTCCCTTTGTAAGGCTGAACAACGTGCCTGGAATGTGCGCGCTGTATCATATCATCCGTTCGTCTGTCACGGACATGGGCTGCTCCCACCTACAGGAACCACTACAAGTATGGTCCGCCAATGGCCCCAGGACCTGCATTTGAGTCTTTGGCACATACCCGGAAGTGAGCGGCTGGCACACGCAGCAGCTGTCATTTTATTGCTGAGGAACTGCCATACCTGTGTTTATAGTTCCAAGTGAGCAACTGGATTTTTAATTCATTTTTATTGTTTAAATATTACATGTGCCAAATCCTAGTTCAACGTACTTTTCACAGGTGGAGAAACTGGGTCCACAGAGTGGTTTTTACCCGCTTCCCTTGAAACTCCATTGAAAGGAGCCTGGCCAGCAAGGAACCTTCTCTGACATTGTCAGTGCTGAAATTTCTCAGCTGCTTCTGTGATACCTGACTCGTGTTTGTGTTCCCCACTAAGCGTAGCTCTGTGCCTGGGAACAGCTACATGTTTCTGACCCCACAGTGAACTCTTTGGAGCCCAAGGCTGTGGCCTACTCAAGGATACCCCAAGTCCTAGACCAGTGAGGAGTACAAAGTATCTCTGTAAAAGCCACAGACACGGGAAACAACAATATGTGGCCAGTCCATGCAGTGGAACCTCACTGAACTATAAAAAGGCACGAAGCACTGACTCATGCTGTAAGACAGGCAAACTTTGAAAAGGAGAACCTTATGCCAAGTGAAAGAAGCCAGGCACAGAAGGCCACGGTGTGTGTGAGTCCAAGGATACAAAGAGCACAGAACTGACAAATCCAGGGACGGAAAGCAAATCAGTGTTTGCCAGTGGCTGGGGGGGAGGGGAGATTAATGAGTGCGGAGTCTCCCTTTAGGGTGACGAGAATGTTCTGGAGTTAGAGCCAGGAGATTGTTCCATAACACTGAATAAATGCCACCCAGCCCTACCCTAAATGTGTGAAGTGAGGCAGGAAGGCAGGCAGGCCGGCACATATTTCTAGCAGAACTGGACAGAGAAGAACCCAGCTGGGCCCTGGATCCCAAAAGCCACTGGGAGAACACAGAATAGCTACGGCCAGATGCCCACCACCAGGCCTGGGGTCCCATAGGCACTGCCAGGCTGTATCTCCCAGTGAAAGTGTTTCTAGGGGTGGCGACCAGCTAGAGGCCCCGTGGTAGACTGACAGTGCCTCTGGGGGTTCTCACTGGAACCCAGGTCCAATCACCCTAGCACCTGCTGTGCTGCCTTTCCTCCCTCCCCTGCTCAACTCTGGGTCCAACCTGGAAGAAGAGGGGCTGTGGCCAAAAAGTCCCAGGCCAGTGCCATCTGCAGGCTTCCGAACAGTGTCAAATTCTCCCCCAGCTGCAGAGTCTACCAGGCGCGACAGAATCAGATCACGACCGCTGTCCGTGGCTTGCTGGGACAGGGCAGTAGGCCACATGCCTGAGCAACAAACCCCCAGAGAACAGGCAGCTACTGGGGCGCCCAAGGGAAGAGGGGTCAGAATAGCTGCCCGGAAACCCCCACCCCCACCCCTCCCTGCTGGTCACACTACTCTGTATCCCAGGAGCATCCCCAAAGCATCTGCACAATCTCTCCTCATCCACACAATCCTCATAAGCAACAGCCTCACTGGCCAAATGCAAAGGGAGCTCTACTCCCAGCTCCAGGGGCAGCCATGTGGTGCCCGTGTGTCTGTTGGGCCTGCACCCCCAGGACAAAGTTCCCTGGGCAAAGTCAAAGTCATTTCCTTACCTCACCCTGACACAATCCATGCCCATTTCTTAAAACCCAAGACAGTAACACTATCACCCATACATGTCCTGCTTAATCCCAGCCCATGCGGCCAAGCAAAAAGCAAGGCCACCCTGTCCATGGCCACCCGCAAGGCCACCCCACAGTCCCGCAGTCACCACAGATGCAGAGAGGCCCACAGTTGCAGGCCCAGGGGACATTACTTCAGGCTGCAGCTCTATAGCCATCAACAGGAGCTCCAAGAGCACCAATTAAAAGGTATGTGTGGGTCCTCTTACCAGGTTTCCCACTGGCCGATTCCTGGAGCTCAGCTCCATTCCACCAGGTTGCATGCACATGGCAAGTCCCAGCAAAAGTCTGCTGAATGAACAAACCAATGAAGGGTGGTGCAGATGGCTGTGGCCAGAGCACCCTGGCTCCCTCCATGCCAGGGGCTGGTCTAAAAGGCCAGCACAGTCTCATGGGGCTCCTGGGTATGTTATCATCCCATTTCACAAAGAGGGAACAGAGTCTCACTGTATTTTTCTTACTTATCAGTGTCACTGAACTAGTAAGTGGCAGAGCCAGGAATGGAACCCAGGAATG